AACCAGACACGCTCACCGTCTCAGAATATGAGCCTCTGGTTTGCTGCACATTAGCTTTCTGCACTCCCTCCCTGACGCGCTGAATGGGTCATGAATGAGCATGATATTAGGCTGTTTGGTCCAGCAATATGCAAGATAAGCTGTTGACAGACAGACACGCAGACACACGTGAGCATGCACGAGCATACACACGACCATATACATAATCTCCTGGCAGAGATAATAATTAGTGAGTTTTAGAGGTGTTTATGGGAAGATACATCTTTGTACCATTAAACAAAGCCAGGCTAGCTGTTTCCCCCTGCTTCCAGTTGTAATGCTAAGCTAAGCTAACCACCTGCTTTATTTTTAGCAGACATACATGTAAGTGGTATCAATTTTGTCATCTAACTCTTGGCAAGACAGCAAATACACACATTTCCAAAAATCTTTTCCCAATCTTTTCCTTTCAACCAACTTGAACCTGATGTTTGACCAACCACGCCGTTTGCACTCCACAGTCCCACCTGATATGTCACAGCGGGAAAAGCACGTGTGTAAATAATAAAATTAATTTGCTGCTTCAGTTTTAGTGTGCATAAAGTAAGTCTACTGTGCAGTACCATTTGTTCATGAACTTGCAGAAGTATGTTTCAGGCTTTGGAATAATTATGTTTACCTATAAAATTACTTATTAAGCTCCTTTTGTTGACTTTTGGGAATGGCCTGGTATTTTTCTATGAGCCCGCTTCCCCACACAAAACCAAAATCTGCACCACGGGTTCAGGCTCGGAAAGCACAAGGGTCCTGTGAAGTTCTGTTTAATACTAGCACGTCTTCTCTTCCACAACCTCACGTTAAAAAGTGAGTGATGTACCTCAGTTACCTTAACGGCAATGAGGGCATGCTATTTCAAGAATAAAACTCTACAAATGAGCAAAAAGAGCAGACGGAGAGGGGACCGTCCGTTGTCCCGTAAACAAGCAGAATGTTCCCATTCACCGCTGCGTGTGCTCTCTACCAGCGTCACGTCGATGTTGCGTCAGTAGGATCAATGCATTCATTCACATCGACGTGCAGAGTTATGAGCAGCATGTCGAGAACATGCTCCTCTGATGTTTATGGATGAGGGTTCTGGGAACGAGCACAAAGAGCCGAATGGGTGGTGTGCGGTGAAAGGGCAACGGAGCGGCGAAAGAATGGACTGCTTTATTCTTATTAGCACTAATTATAAAACAAGTTTGTCTTCTTTCGATTGTTAAATGAAGTGAAGTTTGTTTGAAAAGTCTCTTTATATCCTGTTCTCCTCCTTGATGTCTCAATTTTGTCTGCGGTGGATTGCGTTTAAATCACGTTTGTACGTGGGGCCAGTTTATGGGCCTCTTAACCTCTCCTCTTCCGAAGGAAATATGATTCAGTGACGTTTTACTGGTATGACTCTAAAGAAATGCTTTTGTTCAGTGCTCATGGATGACCAACATTCATGTGCGTCATCAGCTAAATTCTCCCCTCAGTGCATCGCTTCAAACCCAGCAGAACTGTTGCTTCTGCACAGAAGGGCTGCTAATCTTCATTCACATTAGTCTGAGTACACACACTCGGGGAAGGGAAGAACACTCGTAGACACACATTTTTGTACACAGATCCACCCGTCTCCATCCTCGTTTGTGCTTCTCTCATACCGTCTGCCGCTGTGTGTCCTCCTCTTCCACTTCTGTGTCGGATCAGGCAATCGTGGAGTCGTAAATTCTCGCCGTGACTTGGCTGCGAGACATGGCAGAGTACACGTTAGGCCTTGAAGTACGCTGGTAGGGATGGAAATCGATCATTTTTATTGATAATGCTACATTGTGAACAAGTCATCCATGTTGAAATCGGCAGGAGGAGAGCTAGTTAACGTTAGCTGTTAGCGGCTAGTGGGAAGCACAGTCCTGCTTGGCTAAATAACAGAGCTAACATATCGGAGGTTGCATTGACATTACATTACAGTCATTTAGCAGACACTTTTATCCAAAGCGACTTACAATTCAGATACTATCACATTCATACCGTAGGCACAGCTACGGGAGCAATTTTGGTGTTAAGTGTCTTACTCAAGGACACATCGACATGCGACTATTGGATCCGGAGCCGGGGATCGAACCGCCGATCCTCTGATTGAAGGACGGCCCTGCTCTCCACTTAGCGGCTAGTGGGCAGCACAGTCCTGCTTGGCTAAATAACAGAGCTAACAACAGCCAATGATATCGGAGGTTGCATTGAGTTACATTATGATGCGTTCAAACTCTATTCAGTAAAAATGAGTATTAGGCAAATATAAATGATACGTTATGTTGGCGTTCCAATGTAAAGACAATTTTGTTTTTAGGGAGAAACTTGAATAAATCCAGTCGTTGAAGGATGTTTTTACAGCAATATACAATAGATATTAGAAAGGTAATTTTAACTTACTAACACTAGCTCTGAACAGCTTCAACTGCATCATTGAAACTACTAATAACAAGAATATTTAAATGAAAATACAATCATACATCTAATAATTTGAATTGTGTTGTTATGCAGTTGAACGCTATAGATGATAATAACAAAGTAGAGGGAAGTATTGGGAGTGTGGTAAAAAAAGTTAGTCTTCTGACTGGCCTGTATGTACTCTTTTCTACACAACAATTTATCAGCAATCAATCGATAAAGAATTGGATTGATGTGTGGTGGTTGTCTGTGTTTCCGTCTTTGAACTTGCCGAAAAAGTCTCTTTTCAGCGTTTTACTTTGCTCCACCCTCTCATGTCACTTCTTGTTGCAACAAACCAAAAATCAAGATGGCGACAGCTAAATACCAAGATGCTGATGGTCAAAATTCCAAACTGAAGGCTTCAAAATCGTAGGCCTCAAACCAATGGGTGAAGTCACGCCGACTACGTCCACTTCTTATATACAGTCTATGGTCAGAAGGCAAAAAACAATTGTCTTTCACTACGACACAATACACAGAGTAAAATGAGCAATTATCCCTCACAAGGCTCATTTTCCTTCTCGTCACCACATGTCTGTTGGGTCAGGCTATCATTGGGCTGATACAGTGTAGTCAAATGTTGACATTAGCCACAGACTCAGATCTGCACTGTCAGCCCTCCAGCATTATTGGAGAGGTGGCTGCCTGAAGTTATTGCTCTGACATGACTCAGTCACTTTGTGTATGTGTGTGTGTGTGTGTGTGTGTGTGTGTGTATTTCTGGCTCCCCTCTCACCTCTGCTGGGAAGCTGACAGCTCACTGGGTTTAGGGGAATAATCCACACATGTCTCAAGTTTACACACACACACACACACACACACACACACACACACACACACACACA